GGAATGAGTGGAACATGGTTTACTGGGGCACAGCAGCTTTTTTTTTAATTCTTCTTGGTTTTAAATCAAGATTCTGGACTTCATGATAGGATTAAACACAAATCTATTAGTAGTTCAAGTGTTCCAAGTCTTAATACACATTTCTGACACTTTGCAAAAAAACCCAAACCCTTATGGTCCCTTTAAAAATTACATTTAAATAATAATTCTGATATTATCTGTCTAATACTTCTATTACTTAAATAATAATTTTGATAATGTCTGATCTTCAAAACAATTATTTTGTGAAGTTCTAAAAGTCTTCTGTATAACATTTTGTATAACTTTTAAAATACAATTTTCCTTCTTCAATGTTGGCATTTTCCTTAAAAAAAAGAAAGATTAAAAAAAAGTTTACTTAAAAGATCGACAAGAAATTCCAGTTTTGACTTTGAAGCAACCAGACCTATACAGAAAAGTATAAAAAGCTCAACCCTGATAAAAAGTAAATTTTTAATTTGATTTCTGAGGGACAGCCTTTACCATCATATTTTTAAATTAACAACACATACTGAATTTAAACTTCTTCTGTAAAACAATAAAGCGATTTGAATTTATAATATTAGTAAAGCTGAGAAAGAAAAAAGAGGTAAGATTAATACAAACTAATTAACATGGCAAAAATACAAAACCACAAATACCAACAAGAGAAAAAACACTTCAAGAAAGACTAGCAACTTACAAAGCCACATTATTATTTATATAATAAGTCTGAAATTAACCTTGGGCCTTTTTCCTTTATCTTAAAGTTACACATAGTGTATTTATCACAGTATTTAGAGATCATATTTTTAACCAACTATCTTTTAACTTTGCAAATGGAAAGTTTTTAACAGTAAGGTCTGCAGAATAAGAACACAGAAAAAGGCAGGTAAATAAGACATTTCAAATTAAGAATTTTTTTTTTTTTTTTTCCAGATCATTATAAGGATATTTAGTATTCTTAACTAAGTAAATTAATAATGAACTCACTATTCAGAATAAATGAACAAACAAGTGAAAATAACCTAAAGATATTTAGGCATGCTGTCTGTTTCTTGTCTTCCTCTTCACGTGCCCTGAAATTAATATAGACTACACAGACTTTGCTTTGTAGGCAACTTTATTTAAAATGTAAAAATCCCAGCTAATTTAAGAATTATTTGAACTTTATCTTGACATTTACACTATAATCTGCAAAACAGTCAAACGTTAACTTGTCTTAACATGTAGAGCATAGGAAACAGGAAACACCGTGCAATATACCATAAAGACATTTCATCTGACAAAGTAGAGCCATGGCAGATGTCATAGAAGATTATAAGCAACTAAGATGAGAAGATTAATAGCAAGAAGTAGTAATAAAATAAAATAAACATTTAGAGGCAGGCTAAGCATGCAGAACAAGTAAGAGAGAGCGTATGTGAAGAAGAGACAACTTACATGGCTGTTGAGAAGAGAGCTTCTGTGAGTGGACAGACCATCAGACTTTTGCAGTGTCTCAATCGCCATTTCAATCTGATAATAGATGTCATTAAAAAAAAAAAGGACTCAAGACGAGATAGTAAAAAAGCCTGATCAGAGAAGTTTTGACAGATTGCTTACAGATCAACAGAAATGCCTGCTTTGTTCCTGGCTAGGGCCTATGTTCTAATAAAAGGCCTAATTCCAAAGTCCCAGTGAACACAAACCTCCTCAATGAGGTCAGAAAGGCATTTTGCTTGCATAAATACTGCCAGATCACTGCCTCAACCTGCTTAGGAAACTAATGAATAGATTTACTGGTGGGCTGCATTGAAATGAAAATCTGATTGAATAAAAATATCATTAATAAAATAAAAAATAGGTAAATCTCTAGACAGAATTTTAAGAAATGCCTCCATGTATTTTCCTTCCATCTCATCAGAAAGAGATATGCACAGCTTGAAATAAGAACTCAATTACAAACAAAACTTTATCCCTCTGGAATCACAGAATCAAATCCCAAACCCAAATAATTAAATAAGTTTTCTACCATTAGTTTCACTGCAGCAGGGTATCACCCTTACTGTTGCCAGCACCCTTTGAATATTGCCAGCTGTCAAAGTAAGTGGGAAGTAAGGAGATACACAGACTGTAGGATTCAGCCTTTGGAAAAGCAGATTTGTTCACAATAATTTTGCTTTTTAAAAGGAAAAGAAAACACATCAGTACTGAAATACAAAGTAGTATTTCTTCAAATGCAAATGTACGAATACTGTCACATCCATTCCCATTCCTTTCTTTTTTGATATCAATAAATATTTGATCAGTTTGACAACAACATTGCTGAGGAAAAAAAAAAAAAAAAATAGAACCTAACTGTAATTTAACTGGGGAGCCAGAAATGCAAAAACATGAAAATGACAGAGACAACAGGATGCACAGTAAGAAAAGGCATGCAATTAATTAGCTACATTAAATGGCCAAAATAAAAGCAATGGAAAACACCACTTACACTTCTAAAAACACCAGTTTTCTGTGGACATTTTTAAATAAGCCCTCTCTATCTGTAATTTTCATGACATAATTTATCAATATTGGCTGAATTTACCCTTTGTATAGCAGAAACTGAAAAATACCAGAATTGATATTTGAACCTACTGTACATGTAAAATCTGCTTCTTTTTTAGAGGTCAACTGACAAATTTATTGTAATGACTCTGAGAAGTCATTTCTTGCTACTCTCTTACAACTGTTTAATATATAAGCCATTGTATCAAATGAACCTTAAAAATACAAAGTTGCTATGTAAGAAAACATATGCTTATATGACAAAAATGTGCCTATTAAAAAATTTTCTCATCCCCTCTTGCTTCAGTGGAAAACATCATGAGATCAAAGTCTTCATTCAGATGGGAAAGATCACATTTTAAAAGCATGCTGCATAATAAAAACTGCAACCTTAAACCATCATCATAGTAAAGGTTAACCTACTATATACTGTAAGCATAGCATTTCCATTCTTAACATGATGCTGCAATAAAGCAATGAAGACTGTATACACAGTTACATTCTGAATCTTATGTTACTTGTTCCACACTGCATAGTCCACAGCAGTACTATAGCACTGAATTTACTCCTCCTGTTATTCACTCCCAATACTGCATTATTCAACATTCTGTTGCTGCCTCTTGTGGCCTTGCTTTTTCAGGAGTCTGTTAAAAAGTAGTAGTAATTGCACTTAAAAGTGGCATTACAGATGACACCCATGCTTTGCTGCCATATTGTTTCAATGCCTTTTTTTGCTACACATTAAGCCAAATACAGAAACTGCTGTCGGGTTTTGGGGTTGGGTTTTTTGGGTTGATTTTGTTTGTTGTTTTGTTCTGTTTTGTTGTTGTTTTTTGTTATTTCGGGGATTTTCGTTGCTGGAGTTTCTTTTAGAAGTAGATTTCACTAGAATGGCAATTGAGGACAACGAATCTGTGTTCACTTTTATTGCACAGCATAACTCAAGGTGATATAGCCACCACTAAAAGAAAATAACCCGTGTCCAGGGCAGCATCAAATAAGTGTGGCCAGCAAGTTGAGGGAGGCGATTCTGACCCTCTACTCCACTCTCATTAGATCCTCACCTGGAGTACTCTGTCTAGTTCTGGAGTTCCCAGTACAAGAAGGACACAGAGCTCCTAGAGTGAGACCTGTCCTGAGGGAAGAGAAGCCTTGCAGAGGGCTCTGAATAGACTAGAGCATTTGGCTTGGGATGAAATTTTATGAGTTGAAATGCCAGATTCCACACTTCGGACAGAGAAATTCCAGATACATGTATAAACTGGGAATGGCTGGACAGCGGCCCTGCAGAAAGGGGCCCTGTGGGTGCTGATTGACAGAAGGCTCAGTCAAGAGGACAACCCAAATCCTGGGGTGCACCAAACACAGCTCAGCCAACCAGTCCAAATGGGTGATTATCCTGCTGTATGCAGCCTCACCTTGAGCACTGTGTGCAGTTCTAAGTCTTATAGTTTAAAAAGCATGTGAAGGTCCTTGAATGCATCCAGAGGAGGGAAACAAAGCTGATGACAGGGTGGGAAGGCATGTCCTGTGAGGAGCGGCTAAGAACATGGTCTTTAACTAGTTTGCAGGAGGTGGAGGGGCAATCTCATTGCCCTCTACAGCTTGCTGAGGTAGGAGGGATGTTGAAAGGGAAGTACTGATCTCTCCTCCCTGGGATCCAGAGACAGGATGCGTAGGAATGGTTCAAAGCTGCACTGGGGGAGGCTTAGACTGGACATGAGGAAGCATTTGTTTACCAAGATGGCCAAACACTACAACAGAATTCCTGGAGAGGTGTTCGATGCCCCAAGCCAGCCAGTGTTTAAGAGACATTTGGACATTGACTTTAACAGTATGTTTGAACTTTCAGCTGCCATTCAGTCAGGGAGTTTGGCTGAACGATGCTTGTAGGTTCTTTTCAACTAAAAGAGGCTATTCTAGTATTTTATTCCAAGCTTTTGGGTTTTCAAGAAAATCTATATGACACATGGGTATAGGGAATAACAGGTACCTGAGTAAAAAGTTGTTTATATGAACGATCTGTTCCTTCAAGCTTTTAAGTTCTGGCTAGAGACTTTTATTTAGGTTCTAAAAACTGAACATAATTTCATCTCTATTCAAAATAGCATTTAAGCACATATCCAGATTAATTACATAGGTAACACTGTGGGCTTTATTATTACTTTTTTTGGAAAGAATATTAAAATAATTTTAACTTTTACAATTATATTCTGCATAAATACAAAAGACATCCTTGCATTTTTAGCAATAAAGAGTGAGAGATTCCAGGCACAACTACACATACATCTGAAATGCTAAATGAAAACACAAACTGCACATTCATTTATTTGAACATGTGATCAGTCATACATTTCTCCTATTCTCTCTTAACAAAACTAAACTCATTATTTATTAAAACTTTCTGTCTGTTAACTGACATGTACAGTATTACTCCCACTGCAAATCCAAACAACCATGTTAAATGTTACACTACTTGTAGATAGGTATACAATTTGTGAAGTAATATAAATACATGCAGACAATAATCAGAGCATGACAGTTATTAAAACTCGTGATTTAAGACTTCTTAATTTACGTTGTTTGACAACTAAAATACTGCCTCATACTCTGACATATTTGTAAATAATTATGGGTATTTCCTCAGCATTAAAAAATTTAACATTTTAACCCCAGTATATGCATCCAGAATCCTAAACTGAGTTTTTATGTGATCTACTGCTTTGGAACTTATTAACAATTCTTGTTAGTTTATGACTTTGTGTTCATTAACATGTCGCTAGCTAAACAAATTACACATAATAGTCTCATATATGTATAGCACAGACATAGCAAATACCTACCTCAAATCAATTTTGAAAAAAACTGCATTTGTCTTAAGAAGAAGAAAGAAATCACACTTTTTTATTATCCAACTAATTATTTAGTTGGATAACCAGTATTTATCCAACTCCACGAACCAGTACCAGTTGGGGGTTGACTGGCTGGAGAGCAGTGCAGGGGAAAGTGACCTGGGGGTCCTGGTGGACAGGAGGATGACCATGAGCCAGCAATGTGCCCCTGTGGCTAGGAAGGCCAATGGCATCCTGGCATGTATTAGAAAGAGTGTCTCTGATGAGGAAAGGCTGAGGGAGCTGGGTCTCTTTAGCTTGGAGAAGAGGAGACTGAGGGGCAACCTCATCCATGTTTACAAATATGTTAATAAGGACGAGTGTCTGGAGGATGGAGCCGGGCTTTTTTACAGTGATGTCCAGTGATAGGACGAGGGGCACTGGGTGCAAACTGGAACATGGGAGGTTCCATGTAAACATCAGACAAAAACTTCTTTCCTGTGAGAGTGACAGAGCACTGGAACAGGCTGCCCAGAGAGGTTGTGGAGTCTCCTTCATTGGAGACATCCAAAACCCACCTGAACACGTTCCTGTGTGATGTGCTTTGGGTGATCCTGCTCTGGCAGGGGTGTTAGACTAGATGATCTTCAGAGGTCCCTTTCAACCCCTAAGATTCTGTGTGAAAGCTGCTGAGGATACACTGTGTCCATTTGTGCAGGTGAATATTGATGAATATGTTGAACAAGAGTGGACTGAGTATTGACCCCTGGGGGACACCACTGGTTACAGGCCTCCAACTCGACCCTGCTCCATTAACCACAACCCTCTGAGTTCTGTCACACAGCCAGCTCTTAATCCATCTCACTGTCCACTCATCTAGTCCACGCTCCCTTAGTTTCCTAATGAGGATGTTATGGGAGACAGTGTCAAAAGCCTTGCTGAAGTCAAGGTAGATGACATCTGTTGCTCTCCCTTATCCAGCCAACCAGTTATGTCATCACAGAAGGCTATCAGACTGGTCAAGCATGATTTACCCTTGGTAAATCCATGTTGACCACTCCCAATAACTTCCTGTTCTTCAACGTGCTTAGAAACGACATCCAGAACAAGCTGTTCCATTACCTTCCCAGGGACAGATGTGAGACTAACTGGCCT